GTTAGGATAGATATATAGTTACATTCTCTTAATGAATAGAGGGATTTGTTCTAATAGTGTTTGTAAATAGGATATCATGTCTGCATCTTGTACAGCAATTAACCACTAGGAAGAATGTATGCAATGTGTTAATTATTGAAACCGTCCTACCAATTTGATTTGAAACTGTCTCATTGCTATTTGTTTCTCAAGAAAACTATAGAAAAAATAATAATAAAACAGAACAAACCAACACCAAAAAAAAAAAAATTCTAGAAGGACTTACACAGGAAAAGGAAAAAAAGGCACAAAAGACAGGAAAAAACGGAAATGAACATCAGTCCAAATCAGTTAAATTCATCAAAGTAGGAAACATCTGGAATTGTCAGTAAGACAAACATGAATTACTGCCCCCTGGTGCTAGTGTGCAGTGTGTCATTAGATTTTTACACTGACATACACTCTGAGCATTTGCAAGTATGCTCGTGAGAATCAGTGCATTTTCTCTAATTAATTTTTTAGTGCTGCAGGGAAGAGAATCTTCCAGTGGATTTATTAGCATTGACAGAACATGAAAAGTCTGCTTTCCTGCAGAGTTTGTGGAAAAGGCAAAAGAGGTGTGATACTACTTTCACATGTTTTCTCAATTATGGAATCACCAGTGTTGAAGACTTTGACTTAGCAGATGTAGTGGACACAGAAGCTCCTGGATAAAATGGCACCCTCACAGGGCCAAGAGACCCCATGAGCTGAGTGACAAAAATCTCAGTCTGTACTTAAATACTTTTCTCTGCTTCATTTTTTTTAAAAAAAGGTTTCATTATGTAGCCCAGGCTAGCCTCAAACTCAAGACTATCCCTTTGACTCAGCCTCCTAAGTGCCAGGATTACAGGCACGATCCACCATTGCAGTGCTTTTTCTCTTCTCCTGCCCTCCATATAGCCTTTCAGATTATACTAGAGCAAAATCCCACAGAGGTTTCCACAGCTAGTTATCTTATGTCAACACACACTGGGGGTACAGAGGCCAGACTAAGGTGGTGAAGGAACTGAAGCTCTGTGCTTTATCTCAGCTGTGCCCTTCTGCAGAGGCCATTCCCATGGCCTTCTCCAGGATGACAGCACCAGCACGAGAGCTGTCCACAGAGTGTGGCAAATGCAGGACAACTCGGGGACATAGAGAACACACGCCCATTGTCTTCTCTACCCCTAGAGAAGGAAATCATTACAAAGGAAAAAGACCCCAAGACAAGGAGGTGACTGCTCTAGGCAAACAGTTCAGCCCATTAAGGCAAAAAAAGAGGCAGCAGAAAAATAGAAAGTGTAGAGTAGAAAGCCAAGTACTTTCACCAAGGCTGATGCAGTAAGAATGGTTCTCACAAATGACATAAAATAGAAATAGGAAAGGAAGTGTTTTCTTTTCAGCATTATACATCCTTGGCGTCTTGGGGCCAAACTGCTCAGTGCTATGTGTGACCAATAACAATGTCTATCCTAGCCCTTTGTTCTTATGGAAAAAGTCAGACAGTATGAGGAGCACAATGCACCTCTCTATAGTTCTAAAACAAGTAAATAAACCACCAAATCAAACTAAACCAAGACAACACCAGAAAATACAAACCACAGCATTACATTTAAAAAAAAAAAAAAATCAAAACCCTAATCATAATGAATCCCAGTTTAGATCTTTAGGAGAACCTGATTAATATAGCATTCAACACCGGGTTCTATCTGCTAAGTGTCATATTCTACACAGACGCATTTTACAAAGAGGTGAAGGAATGAGTCTTTATGTTTTACTTGAGTTGCCAAGGGAAAATGTAGTGAAGCTGAAATGCACTGGGATTCACTGTGACTAGGGTTTTGATTTTTTAAAAAACGTACTGCTGTGGCTTGTGTTTTCTGGTATTGTCTTGGTTTGGTTTGGTTTGATTTGGTGGTTTATTTACTTATTTACTTGTGACCACTGTCAGTGGTCACACATAGCACTGAGCAGTTTGGAAGTTGAAAATGCAGTTGCAACTTTAAGGCAGTTGAAAATATAATGTATTGAAAATGGATTGAATGCACATAACCTACCAAACACTGCTAAGCCTTAGCCCATTAAAAAGGATAAACTTATATTAACATGTATTTGTGAAAATGTATGTAAAAAAATGTATGTAAAGCTTATTTGTATTAACATATATATGTTAATATATACTAACATGTTGTCATGTTATTAAATAACAGCTTATTTCATAACAAAAAACTAAGTATTTCACATACTTCATTTAATGTGATGCACTATAAAGCCCTGGTTGTTTTTGCTTGCTAACTGAGCAGGATTCACTGCTGCTGTCCAGGATCTTGAGCAAGTACTGTAGTGCAGACATCACGGTGCAAACAGCATAAAATTTAATATTAAAGTAAATTTTCCACTGAGTATTTATCACTTTTTCCTTTATGCCTCAGTAATGGAGACTGAATTTAGGGCCTTGCACATGTTACACATGTTACCTGAGACTGGAGACATGACCCAGTGATTTTACTTTCTATTTATCTGGGTCTTGCTCCACTGTCTGGGCTGGGCTTGCTATTGCAATAATGCCACCCACCGAAATGCCTCAGATAAAGGGGACAGGAAGGGTCTCACTGAACTTTCATTTAACCAAGAACAGCAATCCTAGAGGATAATGGTGCTTAAGGGACCCCCATCTGCACCAGCCAGAATGGCACATGCATGTCATCTCAGCACTTCAGAAGACTGGAATATCAAAATTTTACTGTAGCCTAGGCAACACAACAAAATCTGACCTCGAAATTTTTTAAATATTATAAGTTATGGAGAAGTATCTTCAATAATAAAAACATCAACCACACCTAAAATCTGTTGTATACTGGAGAAATTCCTTTCTATCACTTTTTGATGATGATAGCCACCAATATTTAAGAATACACAAGGTCAGTCTGTCTCCTAATTTTCATTTTTTCCTCAAAAACAATTAGGAACCAAGCTGTTGCCATATAACTATACTCAGTATTCAGAGCCTAAGTCAGGGGAACTGCCATGGTTGGAAGCAAACTTGGTCAACACAGTATAAGCTTAAAGGCAACCTGAATTAGGTAGAAGGTCACTCTCAAAAAAACAAACAAACAAAAAACCACTTGACAATGGTTTAGGTTACTGGATCAGTAGAGACAGAAGATGAATTTATCTAAGCTTTGTGCCTTCTCCTTCAGCAGTGCCTGTGACACTGGCCCATTCTCAGATTGCCACAGCACACAAACGGGCTTTATTGGCACTCTAATAACCTGGACACAGAGGAGGTCCCTCTCTGCTGGAGGTGTGCATGTTGAGCACCATCACCACCCCCTCCTCTTCCACTTCCTTTCACCTCCCATTTGCTTCTCCTTGCACAGAAAACTCCTTTCTCCCTAACCACTATCTGGCTACAGAGGCTACATTTCAGGCCTTCCTCCTGCTACAACATTCCTTTCACATAAAGTCCACCTTAATCAGCATCTCAGTTCCTGACACAATGTCTGCAACCCAAGGTCTGTGCAGTGATTGGAGGAGCTGGGCCTCTCCGTCTGCACTGTTATCCATCCCCATGTCCCTGTCCATGCCCAAGTGTAATGATTCTCCCACGGTGTGTAATAGGCAGCTCCTTCTGGAAGGGCTCCTGACACACTTTCCCCAGCCCCTGCTAACACATGGCCATCACCTCCTCTTCTCTTAACGTGGTCTCTGTGAGTAGTGGTGCCACCTAAAGCACTAAGATGCTCATAGATTTGGCACTGCTATGTATGCAACACAGGGGTTCACTGCATGCTTGGCAAGCTCTCTGCCACTCACATCTCGAGCAAGATGAACATTTTCTGTTCGTTTTCCTTTTCTTTGCTTTGGGTTTTTTGTTTGTTTGTTTGTTTGTTTGTTTGTTTTTGTTTGACTCAGGGTCTCAGAGTTGTAGTTTAAAATGGCTTGGGTCTCACCATGTAGAACAGGGTGCACTCCAACTTGCAGGGAACTTCCTGCCTCAGGCTCCAGAGAGCTGCCTTTACAGGTGTGCACCAGCAAGCCTGACGATCCTTTCTGGCAGTTCTCCTGCCATCACTCATCACTGTAATGTGTTAACTGAATTTTGTGCTTTAACTGTGGGAAATTACTAGGAGGAACCTTGTGCTTCCTGTTATCTGCTCTAAGAAATGTATTCTCCCTCTCTGCTCAAGGCTGTTTAGCAATGAGTAACTGTTTCTTGTCAAGGCCCCAAGCTGAAGCAAACTGCGTCCCTAACCGTCTCCTGTAAACATAGTTCGCTTAACATGTATCTTGTAAAAACGTGCGCTTAGGCTCAACTGTGAAAGACCGCTGAGTCCTATGACATTTAAAAGCCCCCTGCTTCCCGGGCTAGCGGCCATTCAGTCTTCTCCTGCGTGAGACCTGGCTGACCTGACCTGAGCTCAGTAAATAAAAGGCTCTACTCAAATTTTAATTTGATCTTTGACCTGGTTCCTATGCTGAGCGACCCGGAACAGTCACTTATCCCGAGTTTGCCAATGTAAGCAAATGCTGGAATTTTGGTAATTCAGTCTCATCCCAAAGCCCTGTTGGCCTGAGGAGCTAAGGTCTGGCTCTGAGACCCTGTTGTCAAAGATATTTATAGAACAGAGCTCCTCCGGTCTCCTGGAGAGTCGATGGGACCAGGATTCTGCACACCACAGCTCCCCGTTCGACTCCCCACCAGATTCAGTCCCCCACCGTTCCCTCGCTACGTGCACAGGAGGAGACGCAGCTGGGCTGCAGCTGCCCAAGGCGGAACTCTAGGCTTTCTGGAAGGCTGTGGAGAGACAGGAAACTGGGTGCACACCACACCTGCCTGAGGCAGGGCGGAGAGACAGGGTAGGCAAGCAGAGCCCGGGAGGAAGTCGCACTCCGCAGCGGAGGGAAGTCTTGGACCACCATTGCCTTTCCGGCCGCTTCTGCCCAGACCTCACCCAATCCACCAGTCCCTCATCAGAACATCCGCCCCACAACGTCACCATTGCGTGGCTGGACGGTCTCCCGGTGCTCTCCACAGAGCCTGCGGTCAGTAGAAATCCGAAAATCTGACCGGGTGCCCAGCTGGGGCGGCTCCCACCACTGTACTCAGGCTCTGATATTGGCGCCAGGAAAGAAAACCCTCCTTCCACGGGCCACCTGATTGGACCGTTCGTACAGCCCGCCCCTCAGCGCTGATTGTCTGCTGCTCCATTGCCCGCCTTCTGACCTGAGAGTGACAGTAGAAGGCAAGCCTAAGGCTGGCCAAATAGTTCAGTGGATTTAAGTGCCTGCAAGCAGGATCAGGCGCCGGGGGG